TATATATATATATATATATGTTTGATTTTATATTTAAAGTAAAAAAATTATTATTGCGTTAAAATTATGTTGCAGTCTAGTGCAGAAATGAAAAATAGACTCACATGTTTTCATACACTTGATGGATATGTCTTTTTTAAGTAAGAATAAAATAAGTTTAAATAATGCTCACAAATAAACTTATTTTATATTATCTTAATTCGCTATAACATTTAACTTTTCATCAAGAAGAACAAAATAGGTTTTATAAATATAACTTATGTTTATATGTATATATTGACTATGGATAATATTAAAGAAATATTGAATAAAAAACTGCGAAAACATTTTTTTTCTTGGCAAATAATTTCTCGATAGAATTAACATCAGTCTTTTATACAAATATATGTTTTATATTTATTCAGTCTAGTACATTATCGTTAGAATTTTCAATAATAATTTTCAAAAGCTGATTTCCTCTATGGATGTGAAGCAATCAGCAAATCACATATCTGTCATCCTCGAACTCTTGGAGTATAGTAGTGCTAGGGTGATGAAGCTTAGCCGCTTTGATCTTGACTAATCAAGCGAGTAGTGAATATATCGATGTACTATATCCTCAGTCTAATGACCTATCAGTGATGTATAAGTCAAACGTCGAAGCTGTACGTTCACCTTGTTAAAGACTTAAAAATGTTCAATATACATAATAGGATAATAGATGAGGATATCTTATCATCACGTATAGAAGCTTAACTATGTATTCAAATCAGAGTTTCTGAAACTAAGATAAATTAGATCTACCACTGATACATTTCTGCAAAGTTCTATTCAATTTGAATAGTAACAAGATGGATTCGAAAAATATTATGTTACGATTCAATACATTTATACATACATTAATACAGAAGTTAAAACTAATGTAACGAAAAAAGAACATGATTATTATTTATACCTTATATATTTTGTAATGTCCAGAATTACGTCAATTTACAATTAATGTTTAAGTTTAATTGATCCCAGGATATTTTCCTTTTAATTTTATTTGAATACATTATTAATGCTTCCATGTTTTAATTTTATAATTCGGTCCTTGTTTCTGTTCGTATTTCATTAGCATACGTTTCGTGGCGTATTTATCGGTGCCATTTTCCAAAAACGTCTGGATAATACATTTATCTTTGGCATACCAATCGGATAAATCCGAATATAGTTTTGGCTTTTTCTGTTTATGCAGCACTTCACAAAGGGTACAAACAGCCCGCTCTGTCCCTCCTCTGACTCGATAATATTTCTTCCATTGTAGGAAGCTTTGATATCGCTGTAGATCCAGAGAGAGATATTTCAAGTACGCGGCAAGCTCCTTCGGACTCTCGAAGTCTAAAGCATTCACGTAGGAATTCGGCGGTGCGAACCGACTGTAGTTGGCGCTTCCGTAAACCACCGGGACGACATTATGCCTGTAAGTATCGATAAGAAGATCCCTTTATTGGTTGATATTACTTTCCTGCAGTTTCGCTTATTCGATCTATGGAACCTATATAGATACAGTAATTAAACAAAGCAAAATTTAAATAAATAATATGGATACGATTAGCTTTCTATATTCAATAACATATTATATTTGTCTACACACATCAATTATAAAAAAAATTAAATTATTTATAAGATTATTTATTTATTTATAAGATGCTGTTTCTGAGATATGAATAAATTATAATTCTTGTAACAAACAATAATAATGATAACTGAAAAACCATCTTGATAGAAATATTTTTAGAATTTTTAAAAATTCATTTATTTCTTATGGAAATTCAAATTTTTTAGAATTTCTATACAATTTCATAATCTTTTAAAAAATTTGTTCGATTTTTTATACAAATTGGAATACTTCAAAAGTAAAAAAGTCTATGATTTTTTTCTAAAAATCTTCATATATGAATTCTAAAATATTCTACGTTTTTTATTAGAAGATTTCTCATTCTAGAATTTCAAAAGAAAATTCTTATAGAATCTGAAAAAATATAAAAAATTTTTTTTTCAGAAATCTTCATAAATTTAGAACATGATAAATTTTTGAAGATATAAAATAATATAAAAATATTTTTCCCTAAGAAAGTTTGATAGATATATTATTATATTTATTAAAAATTATTAATAAAAAAATATTACTTTAGCATTTAAAGGAATTAGTTATAGTGTAAGTATACACGATTTACGTGTCACTGACACATCACTACATCAATATCTCACATATACATAAATTTTTGTACAACAATAACGTTTTAATTGGACATCTCAGTTCAATTCTAAGAACTGCACGTTGTTCTTGTACAAATTATTAATCTAAGAACTACTATAATTTCGTATAGATTGTATATATTATACACATGTATTATACATATATATAAGCAATGTTGTCACGATTAGAAGTGTTGCTTCAATAATACGATGCTTCAATAATATTTCCGTGTGAATCATCAGCATAAAAAATTATTAAATTATTTGTCAATTTAATAAATTAATATTATAACTATGGTTCTGCTCATAATGTTTCAAAAAAAGATTTTCAACGCGCGGTTTGCATAATCAAACGTACATAAATTCACACGGAAAATACTTAGCATTAAGATCCGCTTTGATCGAATATAGGATTTTTAAATTTAATTTATCTTACTATTAATTTGATTTATTTGTTGAACTCACTAATAACTGAAATCAGAATAGTAATATCAAAAATTAAATTGATAATCAATTTAATAATGATAAATTAAACCTTTTTCATTGCTTTTTTGTAATGTTAAAGATAGAATTAGATTACAAAATTACATCATTTAATAATCAATTAATAATTGCTAAAATCAATATTAAAACTTCGAATTTTAAACTAGACTCTATACAACAAACTCTTTATATCAAATTTTTATTTAATAAGTATTTCTTTAGATTAACATTGTTATTTTGTAGTATATCTTTAGGAAATTAAATTGTAATTTACAAATAAAGATTCCATAAAAAATTGTTATTAATCATTATTTTGATATATAAACATTATTACACTGAACCAAAATATTACATGATTTTGATGATTTTGATGATTTTGTAGGGGAGATTGCGAATAACGGAAATGTTAAATAGAATCGGTGATTATTTATCAATTATAGAAGTCTTTTATTCAAGAGATATCAACTTTAAACTACAATAATTAACATTTGTATATTATTAACATAAACTATAATTTTAAGCAAAAAACGAAATTGGTTCGGTATTACCTCATATGGCAGCAGATAATTCCCTACGGTAAAAGTTTTGTTTTTAATTTTGAAATTTTATTTAAAATTATAGTTTGTATTGATAATATATGAATGTTAATTATTGTAGTTTAAAGATAAAGAATTGGAGTATCTTTTGAACAAAGACTTTGATTAATTGATAAAAATAATTGGCAATTTTATTTAATTTTTTTCTTAGGTGTCCACTACATGCCTATTTTTCTTTACATTGTAAAAAAAATGATTGTAGGTACTTACATTCCAAAATAATTCATTTAGGAAATCCACTTACATAGTGGATGACAGAAGGAATGAAATTATCTCAATCTAGAGCAAATTGTATTACAATATCTATGTATACTAGCTACATCAGTCCTCAGTCAGAAAGAGTTTCTTCAAAAGCTGGACAAATTCTTTCAGATACAAAAACTCGGTTGTAGCCGAAGCATAAAATATATTTACTGTTTTGAGTGCTAAAGATAAAAGTTAAGAATGATTTGAAAGAAAAATTTAATTAATCTTTTAATCTTAGTTTTTCAAATAAAATTAATCAAATGTTCTACTTTTAAAGTTAACTATGTACAAAAATTGTTCGTATTTTTCAAATAAAAATAAATATTGTTTAGTTATTATTTTTTACTTAGCTATTTTTAGTTTATTATATAACAACTATTCTTATTTTCACTATATAATAAAAATATGTAATGTGTACAGAGTGTTATTCTTTAATGTACTCATTTTACGTTAAATTAACACAAAAATTTAAGTGGATCATTTGAGACATGTGAAATGTATTATGAATATAAACTTTTTCTAACTCTATTAAAATTATTATTCTCAACATTAGTGACAAATCAAGTGAAGTTGAATTTAAAAAACAAATTTATTAAAAAACAAATACATAGATTTGAAATTATCGATAACTTATCAATAATCCATTAATCGACAATAACATCGAATCTAGAATCACGATGTGACAGCTCTAAAGCGTCATTTTGGACTAAGAAATGATAAAAAAGGAATTTCAATTTTGAAATTTTTTGATGTTCTCGGCATAAACTCCACTTTACAGATACATATTAATGCATATACTTTAAAATCGCGCAAAAAGACTTTTGAATCTATCTATATAAAAAAGGAAAGAAGTATTAATTGTTATACAAAAATTATATGGTTTATTCGGTAATACAGACGCTTTTAGGATTCCTTTATAATATGTAAGTTTTTGGCTTCGATTGGATATATCATATACAATATGTACGCAGCTTTGGTTATACATGTAAATGACAATAAGAGATGTCTTTTAATGTGTAGCTTATCAAAATATATTTGTCATCAGATATTGTATGCCCGTAAAATTGATGATTCGTAAAATCGAATGATAAACGGACATATTTAACGATTACCAAAACGTTGTCCACATTGTGCTTTGTCGAGCTCGCGTGAACAAAAACGGAAAAGAAACACCGCTCGTATCGTTATCATTTGTACTTCGCACAATCCGCAAATAGCAATAAATTCGATTCACTTACTGACGCGTTGTTGTATCGATTCTATCACCGCCGATAATATTTCAATTCCAGACAATCATGGAAGTTTGATGTCAACTTTATGCTCATTGCATTTACATTAAACGTCAATGCGTATCGCAGCAGTCAATCTGCACACAATTTGAATAGGTTCTATACTTTTTGCATATGAATAATACGATTGTTGGAAAATATCGATCAAAAGTTAATAACCTTTTTTTCTGATAAAACATTTGCAATATACTTGTTTTGAAAAAAATGACTTGAAAATTAATGATAATTCAAAGAAAGCGACAGAGATAATTCAGTAAAAATTTAAAAAATGATATTTCTTTACATAAGATAACTGGACGTAATATCTACTCGCTGTTTGTTTAATTACACAATAAATTCTCTCTCTCTCTCTCTCTCTCTCTCTCTCTCTCAACCCTCTCAATAGATAACAATACAATTTTATAGTAAGTCATGCAGACCGTTTATCTGATTATATTAGTTTTACTGTTAAATTGTTTTACTATTCCGTTATTATAGCAAGGTAAAATGAAGAACATTGTAATATTTTGTGTGTGATGTAATATTTTGTATATAAGTGTTATTGCTTTCTATGTATAACCAAGATATGGTTATTAATTTCCATAATTTATATTATTGTAGTTCTGTATTTACAATTTACAATACGAAATTTTATTTTCATTACTACGTTTTTTTGTTTATAATTAAAGAAAGAAAATTCTTTGTAAAGTAGGACCAATATGACTAACATATCCTATATATAATAAAATAAAAAATCCGATAGAAATATATAAGAACTCAGATAGCCAAATGTCTGCAGTCTTCTAGCAGACTGTCAACAGGTTCGAGCAGAAAATGACGGCCATCAATTGCGTCCGCATTAGGCTTGTGTTCCGTTAACATCGCCTATTGATAATGTGAAGGCAAATTGTTGGCAGAAACTGAGCAGATCCTGTCAACATTATCTGACACTTGCAGATTCTGTTACGTTTTTTCTAGCAGTCTGTCAACAGTATTATGTACACCTAATTCTGTTGTCATTTTGTTGGCATGTGTAGCAGACATTTAAAAAATTTGTTTTCTATAGACTTGGCTATCTAGAAAATGATTAAATTCTTATAAAATTTTATTGTTATTTATAGAGCTCATCGAAGGTATTTTTACAAGTTAAATGCAACTGCTATCATTCTCAATTTTTATAACATATGGTAGAGGTGTGCGAATCAAGCATTTGTAAGATCGAATCAAATCGAGTCTGTAACAACATGTTCGAAAACAAATCGAATCGATTTAAAAATTTAAACCCTTATGCTGAATCGAATTGAATGGAATTCTTTTGATTCGAAAATAAATCAAATTTGAATCAAATGTTCATCCATTGACATCAATTAAAAAAAAACTTAAAAACTGAAAAAATTCATTTTGATGTACAAGTATATCAAAAAGTTAATAATATGAAATTTATATTACATAAATGTATATTAAAAACAATACTCTGATAATATACCTGTACGTAAACATGACTCATTTTCTCGTTTCTTTAAAAAGATCTGGATCAACATTGAAAATATTCCGTTATTTTTTAAATTAACTATTATTAGTTTGTTTATAATATCATATTATACAATAACATAACAATTACTGACCCGGAAAAATATGTTTTTTATACAGGGTGTCCCGAAATTTTTTGCCAAGTGCTCTTGTGTAGATACAGCTGACTAAACTGAGTCGAAAAATCCTCCATTTTGCATTTTTTACAATAGTTAACAAGATAATAATTATTAAAAATTGCCGAATATTGGTTTTCAATAATTTTTTTCTCAAATATCAACTTTATAGAAAAATTGCAAGAGACAACAATTATTTACTTTCTTCTCATAAAATTCTAAGAACTTTTTCAGAATTTTTTATCAACTTTTTAATACTGCAGTTTCTTATTGGCAAACTATTTTTACCAACATGAGAAAATATGATATTAAAAAATTCTAAAAAATTCTCAGAACTTTTCGAAAAGAAATTAAATAATTTTTTACTTTTTCTGTAAAGTTATTAATACTAATAATAGTATTTAAATAAAAAGTTATTGAAAATATTCAGCAATTTTTAGTAATTAATATCCTATTAATTATTGCAAAAATTGCAAAATAGTAGAGGACTCAGTCTTTTCGACTCAGTTTAGTCCGCTCTATCTATACAAGAGCGCTTGGCAAAAAATTTTCAAGACAGCCAGTATATTGTTGCAAAATTTCAATTTTTTTCTCTACAATTATCTCTATTGATACAGTTTTTTTTGCTCTCTTTTTTTATTTTATTCAGTTTTTTTTTAAGACATTGTTCCGAAATCTGGTTGAATATCCTAAAAATATCGGATATCTGATTCGAAAAATTGCCTTTCTGGATATTTGACCGGATATCTGATGTTACATTCTTTTCAGATATCCGAATTTTACGATCTGTTGCATCCCTAATTCTTATGTATCAATAAGCATATGTGTCAATATATTAATAGACTTATAATCTTGTAAAAATAACATTGAGTCTTATTTCTTTTTTCCAACTCTTTAAGATTT